TGGTTTGAAACAAGCTCCTAAATCCTACTATGACAGAATAGATGAACATTTTAAGAACCAAGGCTTTGTTAGGACTGTGAATGAGCATACTTTATATGTCAAGTAGTCAAATGAGGTGATTATGTTGATTGTTGCCCTTTATGTTGATGATATGTTGATAATACAGCTAGACAAAGCTTATTTGGAAGATTTCAAGACACAAATAATGATTGTCTCTGAAATGACAAACTTAGGACTTATGCATGGAGGTGTTGCAATTGGTTGGTCAAATAATCTTACATCAGTCAAAGTATGCCAAGGACTTGTTGAAGAAATTCAATATGGACTGATGCAAAGCTGTAGATCTACCATTCAATATTGGAAACAAGTTGAGCAAGGAGGATGAATCAAGGAAAGCTGATGTAATGTTGTATAAAAGCATGGTAGGCTCTTTGTTGTACTAGTCAGCTACTAGGCTTGGTATTATGTTTGCTACAAATCTACTTTCCAAGTTCATGCAAAATCCAGTTTATCACTTAACTATTGCAAAAAAGGTTCTCACGTACACTAAAGGTACTATGGAATTTGGCTTAAACTACATGAAGGATGAAAGTATGAGTTAATAGGCTATAGTGACAGTGATTGGGTAGGGTCTATTGATGACTCAAAAAGCTCTAGTGGTTTTTGTTTCTTTTTTGGCAATGCTGTGTTCTGTTGGAATACCAAGAAGCAAGATATTGTGGTTCAATCTTCCACTGAAGCTAAGTATATAGCCACAGTAACAGCAACTAATCATACTATATATGATTGAGGAAATTGTTAACTGATCTGGGGTTCAAATAAGGAAAAACAACTCAGATTAATGTAGATAATCAATCTACCATAGCTATTACAAGAAATCCAGTGCAACATGGCAAGACAAAACACATAAGGGTCCAGTATCATCCCCTTAGAGAATCTATCAAAAAAGGTGAAATTCAATTGAGTTACTGCCCTACTGATAAGCAGTTTGCAAACATCTTCACAAAAGGCTTGACAAGAGATAAATTCAAGCTTATGAGAAAGAGGTTGGGAGTTCACCAAGTGTTCAATCAAGGGGGTATGTTGAAAAGTTCCTGAAACCTAGGCTGACAGAAGTGTTAAAGACTTTGTTAAATTGTAGCTGTGTTGGTTAGTAGTAAAATGCAAACGTTTGTGTCATTTTGATGTTATCAGTGTTAACTAAACCATTGTTCATGAGTCGTTTAAGTGTATTAGCTGAAACTCAAGTTCTCATGTCCTTTTGTCAATACTGCTTTACTGCTTCACTGCTTCTAGAATTTTTTGTAATTGGTAGTTGTGAATCTTGTTAGAAAATATGTTTCAAGTCTCTTTACAAAGACTGATCTTTATGGAGTTTAGTTTTTTTAGTTGTAATCCAGTATATAAACTCTAATAGAGCTGGAAATAAAGCATGTGAGTTAGTTTTTCACTTGATTCTTCTTCTTTTATTCAGTTTTCTCTCTGTTTTTTTTTTAGTTTTTCAACCGGCTCTCTACTTGTCTTTACTACTTCCTAAAGGTCAAAAGCTCTCAAATTTACAACCCATGTAGGGTAGTTTTCTCCTACAAACTTTGAAGGTGTAGGGGTTGCACAGTTGCTGGAGGCCATGAAAAAGTTTTATGTTTGTTTCAAGTGAGCAGTAGGTTTTTGTTTCAAACTTGAAGAAGGAAAGTTGTTTGAAAGTTTTTTTTATTATTTTCTTTAAAAACTCACGATCCCTTAAGAGTTCATAAGCTCTGATATCAGGGTACAAACCTAAAAGAATGAACAATGAGGATAGACCATGCTGATGCTACATTCATAAACCTTCTAATATACAAGTGCATTATAGTACAAATTTTTAAACATACTTTCAATATGTGGTAGCTTAAACGGAAAGATAAGAGACATAAAACCAACATTACAAGTAACAACTTAGTTACTGAATGTGGCAATACTTCAACACAAAAATATCAACCTACATCAATATGTGTTGTCTTGTCTGCCACTAACATGTAAAAACAAGCTTCCATAAACCTACATTAACCTCCATAGTTCAATTCTAACTAAATCTTCAAAGACAATCTCAAGCTTAACTCAATTTGACATGCTTAGTTGGGACACCTTAATATTTTATGTTATAAAAAAATGTTTGCTGTTATTTTATTTTTCTGGTTTTCTCAAAGGCATAACTCAAGATAGAAGCAGTCAAGCTTTTTTCTATAAACTACTCAAATTCAACTTGAGTTTATCTTATTGAGTATTAAAGTGTAGTATTCATTTTGCACGACTAATGTTATTAAAATTTCAACACGATACTTACTAAACAAAAAGTATTGTCATTTTGTGATTGTTTTGTAATAAAGCTTTTTTCAAACTTCATTGAGTTTGAATTTATATAATCAAAAGTCAATCAAATTTTAGAGTTCAAACATCATTTTTCTTTGGTCAGTCCAATAAACTAGGGTTCAAACTTGATTGTGGGGATGGATTTTCCCCAGAAGGAATCAAGCTCAATTGCTGAAACTTCTCTTTTTGGCCAATTATCTTTTTTCATTTTTGTCCAATCAAAGTTCAATTGTTGTTTCTACTTTCAGTGTATGTATATAAGGTCTTCCTCCTAGATGATGTCCCATTTTTCCTTGCATTTATTATAGTAATTAAATAGATTTTGCTCTGTTTATTTAATATTAATCTAGTCTTCCATAAATCTAAATTAATTTCCCTTTTCCTTTTTCTTTGTACAGGAAACAAGACTAAGAAATTAATTAAGAAAATATCAAAAGGACTAAAGTTTTTCAAATGTAAAAACAAAAACTATTCTTAAATGGATTAAAAAAACAGTTAAAATTCACTATTTGTGGATACAAATAAGCACGAATTTATTTACATGTGAAACCATTATGTCAATTTTTATATAATAATGAGCAATATAATTTTTAATCATTAGTCATTTGTTCATAAGCAAGATCCAAAGGCCAACACTTATGGACACAAGGCCTTCTTTCTTTTCTCTTGTTAGCAGCCAAATTGCAAATTTTTCTTTTTTTCTTTTTCTATTGGCAGGTGTGGTAAGCAGCAAAGGGGAAGAAAAAGAAAAGCTAGGACTGAAGTCGTATCAAGTGGTATCACAGCTCTTGAAAACGCTACAGGTTCACGGTTGCTATGCACTTGAGCAGGGACAAGGTTAGTCAACTTTTTCTGAAAGTTAAAGATGAAGAAAAATAAAGATTAAAAATTATTAAAATTAATATGTTAAATTTAAATAATAATCAAAAGTTTTATAATAGACAATTTTATATAACAAGTAAATAAAAAAGAACAAGAAAAGAAAACTTATAATACCTTTTTAAGAAAGTTGTATTCAATGATATTTTATAGATTCAAATTCATCAATTATTGATTTTATATTGAAAATGTCAGAAATGTTTTTTTGCAATATAAACAACTAAATTATTTATAAAAAACTCATCATCCATTTGGTTTCAAAATCTTCTTTTCATGATTTCCATTAAGCTTGGTTGCTCAAGTGTAGCACAATCATTTGAACGATTTATATATATATATTTTAAAGAATTCATTGATTGTTTTCAACTTATACTTTAATCAAAACCTTAAAAAAATTAATTTAACCAACATCTAATATTCTTATTTTATTTATATTTAAACTTAAAATACTAAATATAAAACTATAACACATAAATACGATATACAAGATTGCACACAATAATTAAATATATAAATAGTTAAATAATATAAATAGAAAGAAGAAGATCAAAGAAAATTTTACCTCCTTTTACTTTCACATAATAGTGGTAAGTGGTTATTGTCCAAACTCATAAATTTCTTTTAAATAATGGAGTGTGTTTCAATGGTGAAAAAAGAGTAAAGTAAAAATGAAAAGACAAAATAGAAGAGAAAGAAAAAAAGGAAAAGAAAAAAAGAGATGTAAAGAAACTTAATTAAGAATTAAGGTAAAGTTAAGAAGAGTTTGTGGAGTTATTTTATTATTTTTTATTTGTATAAATTATTATATAAAAAATTTATTTTGAGGGGTATAAAAAGTATATAATAAATACAAATTTTCAAAAAAATTTGGAAGGCCACAACTTCATACATATACTATTTCTCATAACAATTAAAAATATATACACTAAGTAAAAATTTTCAAAACTTGGGGTGAGGGGTGGTATGACCCTTAGCCCCTGCACTTGAATATGTTTCAAGATATTGTGAATTAGTTGTCAACTGTGAATATAGTGCTAGATGATGTGTTGCAAGCCCTATTTGTTTCCTGGATAATTTTGATGAAGCATAGGATCTAATTTGTTGATTGCGCACTGAAGAATGAAATGGGCTAGTTTTGTTGCGAATTTCTTTAGTATTAGAAAACTAAAAAGAATAATTTAATGTTTTGATAATAATGATGATTACTGATAATTTAGTTGAATTTTAATTAAACAATACACAATATAAGTTTGCTCAAGTATTAAAATTAAATTCATTGAAAATATCTTGACTCTCCATAAAGTTTGAGTTAAGGGTTTTTATTGCCAATAAGAAAACCATAATAATAAAAATTAATGTGAAACAATAAAAAATTTATCAAGTCTCCTAAATAAATATAGAATGTAATTATGAGATGTTTCATAAAGAGCAAAAAAATTAAAATAATGAGATAAAAAGAGTCGGCTAGGCAAGAAGCTCCCCTTCCTCTGACAACTGATCATTAATAAATTTTTCATATTACGTTTCTTAGCTATTAGATTAAATATTTCATATAAACATGATGAAACCATGCATTGATGAGCCTGACTGGATTTTAGTTTAGGCATTGATGGATGAAATTATCTTCCTTTGGCCCCCTTCCCCATAAATAGTTTCTTTAACAAAGATGTTTGCACCTTCCTGGTATCCTGATTTTGGTTGGTCAATCATAGGCATAGCACACCCAAAAGGCAAGTGGACGATGTGTTGTAGGAACCAATGTTCCCACTAAGTTAAAAAGTCAATTTCATACCACAGAAATAAAATAATAATAACAAAGGTGATACTAACTCTTACCCCACCAATCACCATCTATTCTTTAATATGTATTCCACTCAGAAAGCTACAAAGACTAAAGTTTCCACAATAGAAAAAGAAAAGGGGTTATGCACAAAAATGTTGAATATTGCTTTTGCAATTCCGTTATTGGTAGATGAAGTATGGAGAAAATGTACAGTTAGGGAACATTGGTCCTCAACCCGGATTGCTTTGTAGCCAATGACCTTTTGATCATTGGAAATCCCATCTTTTTATCGGTTATGTGGGCTGCAATACATAACACTCTGCAAGACAAAGGAAAATATGATGCAAGGCATAAGCACATTTGCTTTCTATGTAACAAAAAATGTAATAAAAACTTACTCTTTACCACTCCAGGTTAAAACCTACCTATTATTTCAATCTTGTTCTATTTCTGAAAGCTAGTTAGCTTGCTAATAGTTATTGTTCCCAGTGGCTCGGCCAAGCAAGCTTGCGTTCTTGCTGATAATTCTTGAGCCACAAAACGCATGGTCGGTCGTGCCTCCGATTTAGACCGTGTGCATGCTAGGCCCATGGTGACAACAAATACAACCTCCTCTGCTATTTCGGCCGTAGGAGGTGGAAGCCGTTGGTCTAACAGATCCTTCAAAAGCAATTCCTTATTGTTGGATAACAAAGTCACCGATGACAAGGAATTCAAGAGCTCGCCTGGGTGTTTTCCCATCATAATCTCTAATGCCACTACTCCAAAGCTGTAAACATCACATTTAGCTGTGATCTGCATTGTGAGTGCAAGCTCTGAAGACCAAAAAATTAAACAAAGTCAACAATCACATTGCAATGGAAAATTAAGGAAAAAAGAAAAGAAAACCACTGTGACAGCAACATCTAATCAAACATAATTAGGCAAATTCCATAAAAGTAAATTGTTTGCTAACCTGGTGCCATGTACCCATAAGACCCTGCAACTGTGGTCCAGTTCGATGAATTTGGATTCAACAACCTTGCAGTGCCAAAATCTGAGAGTCTTGACTCAAATTCTTCCTCAAGAAGAACGTTATTCAAAGATATGTCTCGGTGTATAATAGGTGGAGAGCAATCATGATGCAAGTAAGAAATTGCATGAGCTAATCCTTGCACAATTTTCACCCTTGTAGCCCATCCTAGCTCCACTCCCCTTTGTGCTCCATACAATACATTTCCCAAACTACCTCTTTCCACATATTCATAGACCAAGTACATGCACCCTTCTCTAGAACAATACCCGTACAACTTTATGATATTTCGATGCCTAATTTCTGTCAACATTTGAATCTCATTCTCAAAACTCTTGCGATTTGTTGCTTGAATGTCACTAGAATCTGACAAATTGAGTTTTTTAACGGCAACTACTTGACCTGTGGGCAACACTGCTCTATAAACTCTCCCAAATCCTCCTCTTCCGATGCAGTACTTTTCATTAAAGCCTTCTGTGGCTTTTGCAATGTCACCAAATGTGAATTTTCCTTCTCTTTCCCAAATGGTTGACTCAAAAACATCCGTCCTTTTACTACCTTTAGTCTCCTCATCAAGGAATTTGCTTTGCTGGTGATATTTTAACACTCCAGCGGCTATTGCTGCTAGAATTAATATGCCACAGATAGGAACAATGATAGCGATAAGAATCTTGTTGTTACTGGGCTTGCTCTTTGGAAGATTTAAAGTGCAAGAAGTCAATCCTTCAACATCTCCACACAAACCTGAGTTTCCAGCAAAAGCATTTCCAGAAGCATTTTGGAATATTCTATCCCTTGGGATAGGGCCAGTTAACTCATTGTAGGAAAAATCAAATGAACGAAGACTACTCATGGTGGACAAAGTTGGGATTCTTCCAGAGAGATGGTTATGTGAAACATTAAGAATCTCCAATGATGCAAGCTTCCCTAGGTCTCGAGGGATTGCGCCTGAGAGTGAATTGCTACTAAGATCTAATAAGTACTGCAAACCCGAGAAGCTACCTAGCTCACGTGGAATTTCACCAGATAAATTGTTATGACTCAAGTTCAAGCTCAGTAATTTTTCACACTTCTCAAGATCTTGTGGTATTACTCCTGTCAATTTGTTCCTCGACAAATCAAGGTACTCTAACCTCTCTAAGTTGCCAACAATAAAAGGGATCCCACCTATGAGATGGTTCTGGCTCAAATTGAGGTTGAACAACATGCTCAAATTTCCCAATTCAAAAGGAATATCCCCTGTCAACTCATTGGCCGCCAAGTTTAGGACACCCAACTGACTCAACTTCCCCAGCTCAATAGGGATTTCACCAGAAATTTTGTTGTTGTCCATTTCTAGATTGGTGAGATTTTGGCACTCTCCCCAATCTGGAGAGATTTCACCAATAAATTGATTGTCACTAAGAGAAATATAGTCAAGAGAAGGCTGAACCCCAAATGCATCGGTGATGTTACCCGTAAACTGATTCCCATCTAACCGGACTCTTAATAGCCGTCTACAATTCCTCAAGCAAGCTGGCAATGACCCTGTGAAGTTGTTCCCATTTACCGTGAGATTTTGAAGAACAAAGCCACTGCATAATTCAGGGGGCAATTCTCCAGAGAAGCTATTGTTCGAAAAGCTAACATAAACCAAATTAGGGCTATATTTCCCAAAATCCCGAGGAATGCTCCCTGAAAAGCTATTGGTGAACAGGGAGATAGCTTTCAGGTTAGTGAGGTTAGAAATTATGTCCGGTAATTCCCCATCCAAGAAGTTTGTGTTGAGATCAAGAGACTCCAAGGAGGTCATGTTTCCAACCTCTGGTGGAATTGTGCCGTTAAGCTCATTATAGAAAAGCTGTAAAGCTGTAAGGTTTGAAAGACTCCATATACTAAGAGGAATTGGACCCGATAGCCGATTTCCTGAAAGGTCGAGAATAAGCATGGACTTCAAGTTCCCAATCTCTGAAGGAATTGAGCCTGAGAGTGTATTGTTATAGAGAAAGAGGATCTGGAGCTTTGACAATAGGCCAATTTCTGGTGGAATCTTTCCCGTGAATAAATTGTTTTGAAGTTGCAAAGAGATCAAGTTGGTCCAATTAGAAATGAGAGATGGTGGGATCTGACCAACAAAAAAATTTTCAGATAAACCCAACTCAATTATTTTTGTGAGTTGTGACAAGGACATAGGCAACCTCCCACTCATTTGATTCCTGGCTAAAGCCAAAAAGGTAAGATTAGTACAGGAACCAAGCTCGGATGGGATTGTAGCATTTAAACCATTCGAGCGGAGGTCAAGTCTCTTCAGCTTTTTTAGTTGGCTTAAAGAAGATGGAATATTCCCTTCAAACGAATTCTCAAGCAACTCAACAGTTTCAAGATTAGACATGGTTCCTATAGTCTCAGGAATTAAACCGGTTAACTGGTTGGTTCCCAGTCGGAGATCTATGAGTTGGGAAAGCTTGGAAATGTTCGATGACAATGGTCCTTCAAAGACATTGTTAGTGAGATTAAGATACTCAAGCTTGCTCAGGTTGGTGTACAATGATTCCGGTATTGGACCAGTCAACTTATTCAGTGACAAGTCTAGGAATGTAAGATTACGGCAGTTGAGTATAAATTGTGGGAATTCCGATTCAAGCTCATTGTAATCTAAGCCTAGGTGTGTCAACAAAGGCATGACCAAGAAATCCGACCAGTCAATAGAAACAAAATAGTTGAATCCAAGGTCGAGGTGCCTTACTTTTTGGAGATTGCTAACTTGAGAAGGGATGGTACCATTGAGATTGTTGTTGAATAGACTCAGATATTGAAGCTCCGTTAGACGACCTATCTCCGATGGTATGTTTCCTTCAAAAGAATTGTTGCTTAAGTCCAAGACGAGGAGTTTGGACAGAGTACCAATTGCGGACGGTATTGGCCCTTCCATACTGCTATTGATGAGGCCAAGGCGCGTGAGATTGGCAAATGGAGTGAAGTTGAATTGGGCGATGGAACCAGACATGTTTGCATTGGAGAGGTTGATTTCGGAGACTGTTCCAGTGCCATCGCAGGTAATGGAAGTCCAGTTGCAGAGGTTGTTGAGATTGGACAAGGACCAAGAGTTGAGAGAAGGTGGCGAAAAAGACAAGCTGTTCTTCCATTGAACGAGTGCTTCTGCTTGCGTTCTGGCTGAACACGTGATCTTCAATGGAAGTAGAGAAAGGAAAACAACATGGAAGAGAACAAGACAGGGATTACGGTGATTTGACATGCTTATAGCTGCTGCGAATTTCTAGTCATGTAAGTTGGGCTTGGTTTAGAACTTTAGATGAGCTCTCTTATAGCTGGGAGAAAGGCAAATAGTGCCATGCCGTAAACATTCAATTTCCAAGTCTTGGTCTGCGCGAGCAGGGGCGGAGCGTCCCTTTATAATGGGGGGTCATGAGTTTTTGAAATTTTTTATATCTTATATATTTTTTAATAATTTTTAAAAATAATTTTTAAAAATAATTTTTATTTAAATAATTAATATAATTAAAAATAATAAAATAATTTTATAAATTTTTTCAATTTTACTCAAATTTTTAAATTTTTTAAATTTTTTAAATTTTTCTATCTATATTTCTCTTTTTTTTTCTATCCTTATCTTGTGAAATAATAAAAATGTAAAGTTTTTATTTATTTAATTAATTAATTTATATTATTATTATTTATTTATTTTAATTCTATTCTATTTACTCATATATTTTAAGTTTTTATAAATTTTTCCTTTTAAACTTCTATGAATCATAAATCATATTCTTTTTTTTATATAAGTTATATCTCTTACTTGTCATAGTTTTTTATTTTTTGTTATGTAGATTTTATTTTTAATTATTTTAATTTTTAAAAATTAAAAAATTATTGTATATGTAATTTTCAAATATAGGTTCTAGTGTTGCATTATTGGTTATTGTTTAAAATTTTAGTTATATATTATTTTTATTAATCTTAATTATATAAGAAAAAATTATTTTGAGTATATGTTTTTAATGTGCTTTACGTTTTATATTTAGTTGAAAAGGAATTATCATGAGTAGAAGAAGAAATTATTAATTATGTATATGGTATTGAACTATTTATATTTTATACATTATAGTTTAATATTTAGTATTATAAACTTAAATATAATAAAATAAAAATATTAGATATTGATTACATTAATTTTTTAATTATTTATATTGAAAAATGTAAAACTTTAAAATAAAATAAATAATAAATTTCTTACAAATAATTTAATTATTTATATTAAAAAAGATATTACCACTGTCGAACAAAATTTTCTTAAATTACTATTATAAGTTTTTTTTATTTTTTTTATATGTTATAAAATTATTATCTATTATTAATCTTTTGATTATTAATAGTTAAGTTTAATATATTAATTTTAAAAATTTTAATTTTTATTTTTTTTAATCTTTAATCTCTCTAGTAAAAATTGACTTGTCATGCACCTCAGTACTTATTATCTAAACATGGAATAGTGGAACCAACCAAGGACTCCAACTAGGATAACTATAGGGCACTGGAGAATATAGAAACAGCCATACATTTGACTTGGAAAGGTGATTGGAAGTTGCCATTTGCCACCAAATATAAGCGTGCAGGCCACAGCGCTTAAAATGTAAACCTAAGATTGGACCAGTTGACTTTCAGGTTCTAATTTTGAACATGGATTAGCATGTCCTTTTTTTTATTTTATTTTCTTTTTAGTAAGTATTGTTACCATGTTCAACTACTTGAAGCTATCCTATCTTTCTGCATTTCCATATTCATTTTACTAAACTGCCGAAAGGAATCAGAGCTTATATTAATATTATCCATTCAATAGATATGCCTCGCATGAATTTTACGTGTAAACTATATTTAACGGCGAATGACGTCTAATTTACAACAATTGTTTGACTTTCTCACATGAATAATCATATATAAAGCATTTTGCTTATGGAAAGAGAAGGAGTACATTAATATACGTACTCTAACATTTTAATATATTAATATTTAATATTTTAAATATTAAAGCGAAGTATTCATTTTGTGATTGTTTTGTGATATAGTTTTTCTACGTTCAAATTAAGTAATTGGTCAATATACTATGTCAAAGTGATGGATTTAATTTCTATATAATAAATTATAAAAATTAAATTTTTTATTTTTTAAAATTAACAATGTCAGTCTAATTATTAATCATATTAAAATTATTCCATTTGCCATACTAATATGGTTTTTGAATATCCTAACATGGTATATTCTTGCTAATGTGGCATTGAATATTGTAAAACCCCTAAATTCTAAATTACATGGATAAATCGGATGGTAGACTTGATGAGCTTAGGAAACCTTTCCAGTAACTAAAAGCCTTGATTTTACCCTTAAGAATATGTAAATTTAGGACTTGAACGTTAGCGGTGGAAGTTGGAATGGAATTAAGCTTGAAAAGCTCAATTTTTACAAATTTGAACTAGAAGGGTTGATCTCAGGAAGCAAAATAGGGCAAAATGCATCCCTGAAAGTTGTTAGTATCAACACCTACCCTTCCAAGGGTCAATCCCTAAGCCGCAAGATAGAAAATGCATTCTGGTTTTAGATCAGGATGGACCTCCAACTTTAAAGGGTCGATCCTACACTACTTTGACAAAAAAATAAAACCTTAAAACTCTCCAAACTCGAGCCATCTTTCATTTATTATCTTTTTTTTATTTTTTTTATTATTTTCTTGCAAAATTTGTTCCTCTCAATATCTTTAAAGTTTCATGATCAAACTTTGAATTTTAAGTGCAAAAACGTAAAGATTTCAACTCCAAAAGTAATGGTTTTTCTCTTTTTGTTTTTTACTCAAAAACCACCTTTCATTTTTGACCGGTCAAAGTCAATTTAATTTTTAATTTTTAAAAATATAGAAAAAGTTTTTTTCCTCATACGTTCTAGATGATGCCTCAGTTTTTCCTGGCATTGATTAGGTTAATTAATGAATACTTTTTCTTTGCACTGAAAAAAATAGGGAATTAATTAAAAAAATATCAATAGTGCATAAAGTTTTTCAAATGTGAGAACAAAATTATATTTAAATGAGAAAAAAAAAACACTAAAAATTTAATTTTGTTGGGTACAAAAAGGTACAAGGTTTATTCACATATGAAACTATTATGTCATATTTTGATGTAATAATTGGTAATATACTTTTTAATTACTAATCATTTAGAGTTTATAATTTAAGATTTGAAATTTAGGATATCAACAGAAGCATGTCGTTAATTCTTTGAACCACACAAATCTGTTGTGAGTGTCATCAGACATCATCATAACCATTTTTGTTGTTGCAGAGGATGCCAACTAGTGGCCCAAAAATTGTATCCTAAACGTATATGTAACATGAAATTAAATAATCATAGAAAGTTGAAAAGGTTCAGTAATCCCCACTTCCCATTATAACTCAGAGCATTGTTGAAATGGTTACTCGGGGATCGTCCTACTTAGAAAATTTGATCAGTTTAAACAAACCTAATTCTTTGTAAATGATTGCTCAGATTAAACGTCTTCAAGTTCCAAGTGTAGTATGGATCGATCGATCTAAACCCACTTTTTGTAGCCTTTTTGGATACTTAAACTTGACTGAAAAATACTAATACCAATAAATCCACTTTTTCTAGTCACTTTCCTTTATTTTCTCTGACGGCCAACTCACATGTTTGATTGGCTGTTGATCTGGAAACGGGATTCACATAGCCCATAGGATACGATAGGATACAACAGAGTCAAGGTCAACTTTTGAATTTTCAAAGACAGATTTTCTTCCACGGGCACATCACATTTTAATTTGAAACAGACGCAATGAAAGAGACTTATCTCCGTTTTGTGGTATGAAGATAAGACCAGACTATCGTGGGTCAGATACTCAATGAGAATGGAAACTTTGGGGTTCATGGTTCATAAATCCTACCAAAGGGCCTTTGAACCTGATGGCAACTTTTCTCCCCATGACGCACGGCTTGGATACACAAAAAGCAGCCCATGCACAAAGTAAATTAAAAAAAAAAAAAATTAGGCTAGGGAGCATTTGAGCAGAAGCAGAACAAATTGAGCCCTTCACAGACTGACCAAGCCTTGATTTCTCAGGGTATACACACTCTTATCCTTGTTTTCATTGAAAATCTAATCTCTTAAATATGTTGTTTACACTTTACAGGGTTAATAATCAACTATTCCAAGCACCATAATTATCAACATTAATAATAGTAATAATATATATGAACTAGTTATGATAAGGACTCCATGCACATAAATAATAATAATAATAAAATAGTAGAAACAATTACATCATATATATTAAACAAAATAATAGTCTACCTAAAGTAATGTTCAAAACTTTGACTTCTTGTGTGGCCCCAAAAAAAGTTAATGTTGTGGACAAAGACAGGCATGTGAGATCCAGAACGACTCTAGTGTTCACACTCTATTGACCACTGACGTAGACGAAATGAAGTCAACAAGAAACGCTGATCAGAAGCTGACATCACTACTGGATAACAGAGACTGCAGGAGCCATACCGTCCTGGAAAATTAGCTCAAGTCCAGGGAGTTAATATGCATTCTATTACAAGTAAATTAACTTCGTTTCACCATGGTTCAATATAATCTAACAGAAATTCCGGTAGCTGGAAAAAGTAAAGCTAAAACTACACCGGACTAAAGCGTTTAAGACATCTAATACTAACAGTAATAAAATGACACCATTTTGCCTACAATCGTCAATAGTCAACTCCCTCCTTTCTTCAATAGTCGATTCTTCACCTAGATTTCAATCACTCTTTCAGCGTACTCCCTTGATTGAATCTCTAGTAAATTCCCAAGCTTGATCTCAGAAACTCCAACTTTTCTTGATTGAGTCCCTTAGTAAAAATATCTGCAAACTGTACTTCTGTAGGACATTAAATGAGCTGGACTTCTTCTTTAACAACTTCTCTAAGAGCATGGTACTTCACTCTAATATGCTCGGCTCTCCCATGCTGTTCAGGATTTTTGGCAATAGCAATTGATAACTAATTGTCAACATAGATTACTGTTGTGTTTTCTTGTTTGAAACCAAGATCAGATTATAATTTTCTCAGCTACATAGCTTGATTTGTTGCTATATACTCGGCTTCAGTTGAAAACTGAGCTACCATATCCTATTTCTTAGAATTCTAGAAAAAAATCCCACTGCCAAAAGAGAAACAATATCCTCCTGTGCTCTTTGAATCTTCAATTAGCACTGCCTACTCATTATCACTATACCCCCAACAACTCACTACTTTCTGTCCCCTTTTAAATTGACCAAAATCTACAGTGCCTCTCACATATATGAGTATCCTTTTTAACTGCTGTAAAATGCAAATTTGATGGAGATTGCATA